ATTTCAGCATATAAGTAATGAGAGATGCCAGCTTAAACAAACCGAGCTTATAGGAGTAATGGACAACTTGATATGTAGTGCTTATTCATACTATGATTATTTTCGTTTGTATTAAGTAGTTTTATCAATAAATATCATACATCTACCTGCTAGTTTTGAATGTTTTAATGGGTTTCTTGTAGTTCATAATACAATCGGTAAAGTCAAACGGTGATGAACTTAAGATGATTGATATCCTGTTTACCTGAAAAGTGACTATCAGTCGTTTTATATACATCGATTATTATACCAGATTACGTAATGTGTATAATAACAGTGAACTTGAAAACTTAATAATGGATCACTACATGAATGTATTAAAATGATTGAAATTTTACAACCAGTTCAAGAATTTTAGATAAAATGACAGAAGTATTTTAAGTTGGAAGCACAAAGAGGTTATCAATGAACACATTAAAGACGAGAAATTGATTGTCGCGGTAAGCAGGCATAGAACTGGAACTGTCCTATTTAACATGAATGATAACATTGACAGAATGAATAACCGACTGAATGATCAACAAACCTTTCAGAACCTTAATCATCCGTCCAAGTGGTTCTCTTGTTTTTGTTTCTCCATAATGACTCGTCATTTCTCCTCGTATGTAGAGTGTCTAGGAAGGCTATTGTACCTCAATTTTCGTTATCATATGTGCATTATATGGACGATTGAAGTTTATTGAACTGCTGAAGTGTTTCTATCAAGCCAGTGTAGTTATTATAAAGCAAAAACTTGTTGTCCATATATCGGCAGTAAAATGAAGTCTAATTAGTCTGTTGTGACATTGTTCAAATCTTTCAACGCTATGAAGTAACACTCGTCAAAAAATGATGAGACTGAGTTGTCGACTATAGGCAATAACACAATGACATCTGATTTCAATGAAGATTCAACGCCAGCAACTTTCATACAGTGAGATGATTGAGGTTACCTAACTCTATTCAACTTCACTGATCTTAAAATCACTTCATTTGAAGATTGGATTGATGTATCAGATGCAGTTCTAATAGGAGGTCTATCTAAAGCCATTGACGTTCGACATACTTCATATGTATATATTTATCTGTAAATGTAATTTAACCAACACCATGTTCAAAATTACCAATCAGCAATATTCCTCTATCTACTCAATTCAAAACGAAATGGATCTGGTTTTGTTGGTGTATAACACGACCTGTTAGAACATGAAGGTATCTTTATTGATCATCAAAGACAGGATCAAAATCCTACTTTCGAAATGAACTTCTACAGTAACTCTTCGATAATATTGTTTTGTCCATCATATAAAATTTTCTTCTATGTAACATGATATTCAAATCTGTAGAATCACTCAGTGTATTTCCTTTTCATACTGTGGTTGACCAAAGATTATATTAACTCGAAAATGACAATAAAGTTAATACGTCCAAAAGTTATTGTTATAATATACCGGTTACCATTCATAAAGACAAATCAAGTTTATAGGATGTTACTTTAATTAGCAGACTTTAGCATGTACAAGTTGCATGTGGTACCATAATCTACAATTATGGATAATTAACAATTCCAATGAGGTTGTTATGATTTCAGTAATATAACCAGACTTACAATATAATGGAAATATGGATACAGTCTATTAATGTAGACAATAGATAGTTTAGAGTTCAATTATGATTACTACAGGTAATGAAAAACGAAAGATGTGTGTGTAGTCATGTATTTACGAGCAGTTAACAGTGTGTATCATGCTATGAACGGTTAAAAATGGAAGCAAGTGAGTTCAAAGTTATGCGGTTTCATACAAATTTTACAATCGTTTGTGGTCAATGTACAAACGATGAGAATTAGCAATAGAAATGCACATAATAACAAAAATTAGTATGTGGTGCCTATCTTTAAAATATCTTCATAGACATGAGGAGAACAAAACAAATAACGTTACATTGAAAGCATAATTTCAAGGAGAACTGAAACCTGATTTGCCAAACTTCCGTGAAAAACGGAACTCTGATTCAATGGTTTAAGATTTGAGTGAAATATCTCGTTTTGGTATACACGCATACATACATAACTGCCTGGAGGAATGACAGTTTGTTCCAGATTCATGGAAAATACCATCTATCGGTGTACACAAACTCAAACCAACAGTCAATCATTAGTTAACTAGGATCTAGACTGTATTTGTCGAGCCAGTAAATGTTAGTTTTATAACGTTGTTGAGTTTGAATGAGCGATTCTGTCGAATAGTCATTGGAAATTATTCATCATTTGTATTGTCGTTTTTCCTTTTGCGTAATTTTCTATTTGTGTTATCTGAAATTCTAGAAAATCAGCATTCAGTGAAAAGCAAATTAACTCAGTTGACTGAGTTTATCATTTTATATGAGATTAATATACAACCAAGTAGAAATGTTTACGTTTACTGTAAAATTTAAAGATGCCAGAAGTATTTGTCGTTTGACAGCACCTTACCTGTAACAACTTTGATGAACGAAACGTGCCAAATCAGTGAAACCAGAAGTCAGAAGTGCAAAGTTTCAACGATATATATTCGATAGACTATTGGCATATCGATAAGTGACTGATCTGTGTATCCACTAGTGATCTGGTACAGATCCGTGATCGAGAGCATTCAGTTATGTGAGTCCATTAAAATGATTTTGGCCAGCATCAAATATTAACGACTTACAGAACTATTGATTTTGAGGATTCATTTACTACCCAACGAACGACTAAGTAATATCAGATGACAGTTTGTGAAGTTACAACTGATATTGCAAAGAAATGTACTTAATATCACACAGGCAATCGCTGTGATTATATACAGGGACTGGTACACTCTATACATTGGTCAATTATCAAATAAGCAAAATTGCTGACATGAACTAGGTATCGGAAGAAAACCGATTTAAAGATGGTAGTTCTGTGTTATACGGAGACCAGGTCAAGTGTTGAAAGTTTAACAGTTTGAACGTTACTTTTAGGGATATTATCGTTTGAGCTCTAGTGTTTGTAATCTAGATCTTATCGACGAACTGGAATGCTCCCTTAATACTATGTTTCTCGACGTGTTTGTTGAGTGGTTTCAAAATGTTTACTAACCACTTTGCTACAGAATGATATGAGGAATCTTACGTTTCCTTAGATGATCTTAATTCGATGTTGCATTCCCGTAGATGATCTTAATCGAACAACCAGTTTGTGTACCTACGGTAGGCCTTATAACGCAGATAAATGGAAACCTACCGCCCTCACTGTTTTGTATATGATTAGTGGAATCATTTGTCGATCTGTGAGCTTTTATAGTCATCCGGTCAACTCATTCCCGCTCTTATAATTGTCATCCTCTTGTTCATTCAGATTCTGGGCGTTCTTGTGATCATTCAAGATGTAATTAATTTTGTAAATTTATTCATTCTTGTTAAGAGGAACAATTCGTGTACTTTGATCAGGTTTCGTGATAATCAACTTCTTGTCATATGTGAGTTCACTGATAACCTCACTGTATATTATAGTTGAATTACTTATGTAGATATATCTAATAATATCAAACTGATAACAACACTTTAATCAACTTAATACATTCACATTGTGATTTGTTACAAGATTACGAAATCCATTGTCATTCTTTACTTTACATGATCTAGAATTTTGATCTTTCACTTGCAACATCAAGATCATTCCTTGTTCATATGTCCTCATGCAACCAATGCTTTAAGTACAAAACTGTTCATTTACATATATGTACGAAAATACAGCTTGATAACAAGTTTGTTGTAAAGAGATCTGTTTGCTGAAAAATTATCCATTTGTTCGTAGCTTGAAAGTAAACGATATTCAATGTGTATGAGATGAATGATAGTCGATGAAACCAGTAGGCAGTTAAGTACATCTCGTCCATTGAATCTCACTTTCATGAAGAACATTTTATTAATATCATTATATTTATGTAGATTTTCTTCACGTAAATATACACAAGATCAATATGGACTTCAAAGTGAGTCACTGTACAAGTACATGCATGAAATCAAATGGATCACATCATATGAGTAGACTGACAGGATGATCTTCAGCCAATCATATAAAAAGGAGATCACTTGCCCACATTTTAAGTGAACTGATATAAAGATTTATGTTCAGTCAAAATATTACAATGTCGAACTGCTAATATACAACTTGTTTAACTTCATACGCTGTATCAACGTAAAACATCTAAGTTGGGCTACAATCAAGAGAATAATAAGGGGATATTTCGTATGCGAAATATGATTGCAGATTTCGTCAACCATATTTTATTTGATAAATCAATAAATACAGTGCCATTAGGAAATTTTCGAAATGCAATGATTCGTGTCTCTTCCTTTGTACTCAACGTTGATGGATAATACTGTAAACTACAGTTCACAATGTCGTGTATTATATAATAAGTAATATTGACCAAATATCCATTGACAGATATCACTTTACGATTTGTTAGTGAAACAATGAAAATGTGGATTTCTTATCACATATCAAAATATACAAAATTAAAACCTATGAGACACGTTTGATGTGTACAATGTAATAAACTAGTCTGTAGCAAGACTTGACACAATAAGCAATGATAGTTTAAGACTACACGTTGCTGCAACATTCTCGAAATCCCACTTCTTTCTACATTGAGTAGATATACAAAATGTTTAATTGACAATCTGAAACATCTTAAGCGAATTCAGAATTCCGTGAAGATTCATCTGATATATTCTTGATTACACACGTATTACATCATCACATATGAACTCGTTAGTTTGGGAATTTTTATTTATTTATTTCAACACATAGATATTGGTATGAAGGAGCACTAAATACGGATGAGCCACACAAATCTCATTTGATATGTGTGAGGGCTGTGATACTACCCGGGTGCCAAAACGGAAGTGTATATTACCATCGCCTTTGTTGTGAACATAATAAGAACGGATAACAACAGCATTGAGAAGTCTCAAGAACCAAGTAAATTCATGTCTCCATCATTCATAACATATTGGTATCCTAAAAAATGAATTCTGACAGCCAAATATTCTGATGTTTTACTGGTTTGATCTATTTTCAATTCATCTGTATTGAAATCCAGTTCTATACGTCTAGATGAAATACGTATTTGTATTGCATATAATGAAGAAAGTGTATATGCTAAAATCAGTCCAGCACGTACGTTAGTAGTTACAAATGGATTGGTGTATTGTGACGGAAGACTGTGAACACACATGAAAAGATTAAATTGATTATAGAATGATGCTGCCAGTGAAGTGCAAGACTTATCAGTGATGATAAAAACCACGGATTGCGTTATTGAACACATCGTATAATCGAAAGTGCACTCAAATTCCTACGTTTTAATATCTACAATCGGAGCATGGAAATGTCAGTTGAGTGACACAGGTACGTTCCACAATAAGTCTTGATCAGGTAAACTATTCGTTTATCAACCTTGACTGCTCTCACATGAGCGTATTTGTGTGTTCAAATTTTATTCTATTATTCACACACCTGTAACTGATTTTTGTGTGACCATAAATATCGATTTATGCTTGGCTAAAGCTAGCTGCCTCACCTGCCTTCATTTTGCTGCTCTCGTCTCTTTGCTTCGTCTCTCTGATTGTCTATCCAGATTAATGATTGTACAAAATGAACGTATTCAAAAATTCTTTCTCGTATATGACTTATTTGCTATCGTTATTCTCTAACGCGATTAAATTCGACGAAATATACGCGGATAGGCGACATATATATTTAGACAACAATCATTCATTAAGGACCATATGTCAAGTCTTACTGGAGTGACATCACGGGCCACAAAATTCTTAATCAGTGAACCAAAAAAATACAATTTAGATAGAGGATTACGTACAGTTTTGCACTTGTGCTAATTCAGTGTCGGTTATTTATTTAATCTGGAACGATGCACGACAGTGCGTCTCGCAATCTCCAGAATGTCATTCGCTTACTCATTAGGATAAAATAAATTGTATACTTATTACCAGTTTTTTATCCAATGCTCAATCCATTTGAAACCATCAAGTCTATCCTTGATAATAAATATTCAATTTCCACATAACGTTTTTCTTTCACGCTTCTTTCAACATTGAACAACGTGATCTAATGAAAAAACGTTTGTGATTATTAGAAATAGAGCTAGCGACCGTAATGTAACGTGGTAACTGGTAGTTCTCACATCTATGGAACACATAATCTAGTAATAAAGAATTAATCATTACACATTCAAATAAGCGAGAATACCGTTCACACAAAGGAATGTGTTGTATTATGGATGCAATCACTCATCAGCATATACAGAGATCAGAAATTTACTGAAATAATAAAGATAACTTATATATATTTTATACGAATATTCACGAAGATTAGAACGAATAGTTTGACAGTAATTGAGCGCCGAGTATAGAGAAGTCATTATATGTGAAAAATAAATTTGAAATATTCTCAGCGATTGAAATATAACTAATTCCAACGTTTCGTCCAGCTAACTTGTCTGAACCTCTTCAGGGTAATAATCAAAATTATCAAAGAAATATATCGCTTTTTAACAATCAGGATTATACTGTGTTAAACCAATCGTATTCGGATGTTGATTTTTTGTAAAATAGGATAAAATGAGTCAGTTAACTACAAATCATGTGAAGAATTCAACTACATGGAAATACTTAACTGAGTAACAAATCGTATGTGCTTGAGTGTGAGTGTTTAGGTATGTATGTATGTGTGAGAGATTGATATGAAGGAATAAATAAAGTTCAAGTTCAAGGATGAAAAACTTGATAATGAAAGATCAATGTGCATGTCAAAACATAAATTGTATTGTTTAGAAACTCATTCAGTTCTTTCAATAATAATAACGATGCATGTGATATTAGAAACAGGTTTAAACAAGAGATAGGTTCCAAATCTTACTTGTCAAATGAAATTTGTCAGGTAGTTGTCGCCAGTTGAATATCATCTTTTCGGTTCAGACTGTTCTTGTTCGCCCATATATGCAGAGCTTCTGCTGTCAATCTTTCTTTATGGGTGTTAAAACCTTTCTGAAGTATTTTGGTCCCTTCAAAATTAAACTAGCAAACTCTTACAGTCATTAAAAGCTAACCTAGGATCGTCCTTATGGTTTATGTTATATCCAAAGAGTTGCAATCCATGCAGATTTTATGGGCTACCAAAGATCCACAAGAATAATACTCCACTAAGACCAGTGGTAGATTATACAAATTCACCGACTTACAATCTAGCTAAATGCTTAGCTAAGATTCTCAAACCATATGAAAAACGGATTAATCATGGAATTAAAAACTCTATGGAATTCAAGAATTTAATTGATACCATCGATATAGAAGAGGACGAAATAATGGCAAGTTTTGATGTATCTTCCTTATTCACTAATGTACCTATCAGTCGAGCTATGGATATTATCAATGATTATTTAGAATCTGATTTAGATTTGAATTTACGATGCCCATTAGATCCATCAGAGGTTATAAAATGCTTAGAATTATGTTTAAGATCTACCTTATTCATATTTCGAGGTCAACTTTACAGACAGAAAGAGGGTATAGCAATGACCTCATCAGTTTCTCCGATTGTAGCAAATTTATTCATGCATTCCCTAGAAACTAGTGCAATCGCAAAACGTTTATGTCCACCAAAGTTATGGTTAAGGTATGTAGACGACATTTTTATTATCAATAAACGGAATGGTATGGAAGAACTATTTAACAATGCAAACAGCATTTCTGAAAACATTAAACTAACTAAGGAATTAGAATCAGTTGACCACAAACTAGCATTTCTAGATTGTCTGGTTGAACGTCGACACAATAATAAGAAGTTAAAAATAAATGTCTACAGAAAATCAACGCATTCCGAGAGATACTTGGATTTTAATTCAGCCCATTCACAAAGAACGAAAATTAATGTAGTGAAAAATCTAATGAACAGAAGTACTAAGATTGTTACAGACAAGGAAGACCAACGAACCGAATTAAATAAAGTATTTTATACTCTTAGGGATAACAACTACCCAAAAAGGTTTTTAAAAAAGATTATTAAAAATGAAAGAAAAACTAAACTAGAAAGTATACGAAAAGAGTGGAAGTACACCGTAGTCATACCATACCGGAGTGAAACATCAGAAGAAATCAAACGGATTCTAAACAAACATGATATAAGAGTGTATTTTAGAGCAAATAACACATTAAGATCGACATTAGTGAAAGTTAAGGACAAATTAGCAAAGGAAGAACAACAGAACATTGTGTATGAGATTCACTGTCATGACTGTAATGATACCTATCTTAGAGAAACATCCAGGCAATTAAATGTATGATTGAAGGAACACAAACAATACTTGAAAAATGTTCCAAAATCCTCGGTAGATTTAAAGAAACTTGAAAATAAGTCAGCGATAGCATTACATGCGTTAGAAACAGGACACAAGATTAATTTTGAAGGGACCAAAATACTTCAGAAAGGTTTTAACACCCATAAAGAAAGATTGACAGCAGAAGCTCTGCATATATGGGCGAACAAGAACAGCCCGAACTGAAAAGATGATATTCAACTGGCGACAACTACCTGGCAAATTTCATTTGACAAGTAAGATTTGGAACCTATCTCTTGTTTAAACCTGTTTTTTTATATCACATGCATCGTTATTATTATTATTGAAAGAACTGAATGAGTTTTTAAACAAGACAATTTATGTCTTGACATGCACATTGATCTTTCATTATCAAGTTTTCCATCCTTGAACTTGAACTTTATTTATTCCTTCATATCAATCTCTCACACACACACATACGATTTGTTACTCAGTTAAGTATTTCCATGTAGTTGAATTCTTCACATGATTTGTAGTTAACTGACTCATTTTATCCTATTTTACAAAAAATCAACATCCGAATACGATTGGTTTAACACAGTATAATCCTGATTGTTAAAAAGCGATATATTTCTTTGATAATTTTGATTATTACCCTGAAGAGGCTCAGACAAGTTAGCTGGACGAAACGTTGGAATTAGTTATATTTCAATCGCTGAGAATATTTCAAATATAATTTTCACATATAATATCTTATATATATTTTACATCTGACGGATCCTTCTCATATTCAAAGACAATTACCTCGAAGCCTAGGTTCCGATTCCAATCACGACTTTTACTAATGATTCTCCTAATGAGGTCAACTGACTGGAGTTAACCATGCAAGTTGTTGGATATCGGATGGGAAATCTAGAGGTTAAACGATGAGCGCAAAATCTATCTAACCATCAGTGAGATCTACGATGCACACTTCTGAGGAGTTCTGGTTGTGCAACGCTTTCTAGTTTGGGATGGAATTTTGACTCATATCATTCTGTAATGTTAAGTATAAGAAAACAACTATTGCTGTATTAAATATTTTTTATTAAGGTCACAAGTTAATACTATCCTTTATCTGAAAACTAATCTACTTATGTGCATGTGTACGTGTGACTAGTAACCTCATATAAGTTCCGACAAATTTCTTTTGGTTTAATGTCATGATTTTGTCATGCACTAATGTCTCACACGTACACTGCATGTAATTTGTTGAACTTTGCATTCAACCTCCAACAGCCATTATGAGTATGATTGCGTTCATGATAACTTGATTGGATGAATTACATAAGCTCACTGTCAATTAAAACTATAAATACGAACGTGTATATGATCGGTTGAAGGGACTAAACGTTCCATTCTACAGGTAAGTAATTCAAAGATTCATTATAAAATTGATGTTTCATTAGCTTTATGGAATTCACTTATAAACGATGAATCTATATTGATGTATAATTTGTCAGTAATAAAAATAGTGTAATTTAACAAATCGTTGTGATTGACAAATCGTATAATTTTTGTAACATCACAATCCATCAATATTTAGTGAAATTCACCACTAAGAGTGCACGAGTGTAATACAATATTGAGAATCATCCGAAGGTGTTAATGTAAACTGTAAGACTCCAAACTGTTGATCTAAGTCTTAAGGAGTCGACATGATCCTCTACGTTAACATGATTGAACACTAATCTGGAGATTCATACTGGGACAATATGTCATATCTAGGGATCTTGAATCTCCTACAGTTGATTAACTGAATCTAGTCATTGGTGAGACGTTATTAGTTGAACAATCTTTACATCTATCTAACAAGTACTCTATGGGTAATAAGTTTTTTTCAT